TTATGTTGGTTTCTCACGAGAAACTTCTTACAGATTAGTTGCTATTTTATGGGCTGGAAATTTGTTTTTATGATTTGTAAGTTCATGGTTAGACTTGTGATTTCAAGGCGTGGACCACATGTGCTCTCATAGGAGCCGCATTTCATCGCTTATTTTGAAATTAGAATCAGACGAAGTAAAATGAACCCAGCTTTACTGACTATTCAATTCCTTCTGCGTCTCAGACATATCCTTCTCAAGATCCCACGATTTTGTTCAGAGTCTAATCACATGAGAGTCGAGACCTAGTTTTGAGACTTTGACGGTACGCACCAGTACGTAGCAAACGTGGCCTTGAAAAAATTACCCTGCTTGATTAGTAAAGACAATTCATAACTATTAGAATCATAAGAAGTCTTGTTTGACGCTGTTTCTTAGAAGCAATGATCTATTTAGCAAACTCGACGCCCATGCAAAAGATTATTGAAAGACACAATATGTCATGTAATGTATAGCACACGTGAATATACTTTCTATAGTCGAGAGCACCTCTTAATAGAGACTCTCTATCGCAGGAAAGTAGATATAGATCTTTATAGCGCATTGAGTATTTGCATTCTTTAAGCTTGTTGTCGGAAAATTCAGATTTGACAAATTAACAGATCATCGATAAGGTCGTAGGAGGTTGAGAGGCGTACAGCAAGCTTCATGTCACTGTAATATAAAGCTTTATATAGCTCTTATCGTATATTATAAGGTGGTGGAGATTCTATTTTTTTGTTTACAAGGGCTTCAAATTGTTATATTCTCTTAATTCCGTAGGCCAATTCATATAGAAGACACTTCGTTTACTTTCATATTCGAATCCAAAACACAACTCAACTAAAATTCCATAACACCCTTATTAATATAACCAAGCATAACAAAACAATTGTTGCACAGGGCAACCAAAGCAAGGTTCAGCATATTACTCATAATAATAATAATAATGAAGGTTCACTTTATGACATCACTTCCCCTTTTTAAAAATCAGCGAATAAATCTTGATGGTATCGGATCACCATATCTCACCGGTTGACTCCTTACTCTTGTTGATTGACGGCGTGCGTTATTTCCAAGTCTGTGTTCGCGTTCTGCTTGATTTCCTTCTTTGTTCAACTCTTGTTCTATATCACTGTCGAACTCTTCATGCTGATCTACTCTAGCAGGGAATTTCTTGAAATGTGACACATTTCTTGTGATACGTCTTGTTTTGTTCTCTGCGGTAATCATCGTCCCTTTACGTTGGATAACTTTGTATGGGGCTTTATCAAATCTTGATGAGAACTTGTTCTTATACTGTTGTTTCACGAGTACCGTATCTCCTATTGCTATATCACTTTCTTTCCCGTGTCTCTTCTTGTCAATATACATCTTCTGATATTTCTGTGACTTCTCTTCATTTTCTCGAGCGATCTTGTGCTTGTTTATAATACTTTTCCGTTTCAGTATTGGGAACTTTCCACGAATTTGTCTGTTGAACAAAAGTTCGCACGGTGGAACTTTCGTAGTAGAGTGCGGTGTTGTGCGATATTGTAGAAGAAACCTTTGTAATTCTTGCTTCCACGGTTTTCCTTCCACGATCGCTGCTTGAATAACTTTGCCTAGCGGCTGGTTGAAACGTTCGACCTCTCCGTTTGCTTGTGGCCATTTTGGAGTACTTCGGTCATGTTTTATTCCCAATATGTGTAAATAACGCTTGAATTCATCTCCATTGAAAGGAGGGCCATTATCCGTCTGTATCTTGTCGGGAATTCCATGCACAGCAAAGATACGATCTAGTTTAGGTATAAGTGTTGAAGCTTTTGTAGAGGAAACAACTTCTACTTCTGGGAAACGCGAGTAACGATCAATAATGACTACCAGATAGTCACCTGTTGGCAGTGGTCCATAATAGTCTATGTGTAGTTTCTCCCATGGTTTTGTTGGTAATTCACTCAATTGCAATGGCTCTGGTCTGTTTTCTTTACCTGTTGCTTGACAAGCAAGGCAAGAATCAATCGTTGCTTTAACTAAGTCATCTATTTTTGGGAACCACACTTTCTCTCTGATCATAGCTTTTGTTTTGGACAGTCCCTGATGACTTTCATGCGCGATGTCAATTGCCTTTTGGCGTAAAGATAGAGGAATGACTATTCTTGAGCCTCTAAGAATAATATTCTGAGCACCGATCGAAAGTTCTTCTTTGATTGCTCGATATGACAAATCGACCGACTCCCACGCACCTGAGCGAATAGCGGCGCGAAGTTTCTGGAGTTCTTTGTCGCTATTGGTTTCTTTACCAATCTCATACAGACTCATTGTCTTAGGAACTGCATTAGAAGTTACGAACTTTATGTATTCCTCAGTGAACTCTGTTTCTTTTGATGTTTTAGCAGATGGATGGCGAGATAGGTAGTCCGCAGCGTTCTCTTTGCCAGGTTTATATTTAATTGTAAACTGATATGGCTGCAAGCGTAAAACCCATCTTTCTATCCTGGCTGATGTCTTAGAGCTTGGCGATCCGTATATGATCTCTAGAGGCTTATGGTCTGTGACAAGTGTGAAAGGTTGACCATATAAAAACAAATGGAAATGTTCAATGCCCCATACTATGCTCAAAGCTTCCTTTT